CTGGAAAAAAAAAAGATCTGGGAACAGGGAGATATCTCAGTTGAATAAGCACTTCCCTGGCAAGTGCAAGGGTCTGAGTTCAATCCCCAGTTCTGTAAAGAAAAAAAAAAAAAAAAAAGATGTATGGACAACCAAAATCTGTAAATAGTCTAGGTCATTCAGATAATGAAAGCAAAAAGACAGACAGACAGACACACACACCCACACACACACCCACGTGTAGTAAGCTTAAATTTTTCCTTAGATTTTCAAAAATAATGGTATCTTTAATTCTGATAATGATTCAAATTGTGCAGGGAAAAACTTACCAGGGCTGATTCATAATGCACTAAGTAAAATAAAACAATCACAGCAATATTTAGTTCACAAATGGAAAGACAGGCCACACAGATTGTACAACAACAATGCTGAATATTCCTGCTCAAGGTCTAGGAAAAGATAACTGCACCATCTTCAGCCTATTAGTGGGCAGTTTTTCCATAAATAGAAGACTCATAATAAAGTGTCTGAGAAAGGACAACACAAAGTATAAAAAGCACTACTACCGAAATTGGCCTCCACACATTTCTAATTCTAGAACATTTCTGAACCCAAGGCATTCCTTGCCTGAGGTGACTCTTACTGGGCCTACAATACAGGGGGGGAAATATATACTGATTAAAGAAATGAATTTTGAAAATAAATCAAGTTCTACTATCCTCAAAAAAAAAAAAAAGAAAAAAGAAATGATTTGGCTTCCTGTTATGAAAACTAAGACTCAAAACACCTTACTAAACAAAAATGATGCCAGGTGTGTGGGTACATACCTGTAAGCCCAGCACTCAGGCGGCTGAGGCAGGAGGGACAGGAAAATCACTGTGAGTTTGAAGCCAGCCTGGGCTACATATGCTGAGTTCAAGGCCAGCCTGTACTACATAATGATAACATACCTTTAAACAGACACACACACAAAAGTAAATGAAAAGAGGAGAGAAAACTCACTAGTCCATTTACCTACAAATGCCTCAAATTTATCCTTATTTACAACAGGGTAGTAACCCCATCATGTGCAAATAATCACAACAAATATAATCGCTATATACTGCATGCACTGATTAAAAAGTATTAAAGGGCCAGCCAAATAGGTCAGCAGATTAAAGCGTCCACAAGCAGGTGCAGGGGCCAGTGTTCAATCCCCAGGCCTGCTGCGCTGGCCCCGCCCTCAGGGCACACTGAGATGGCAATTGAGACTGGGCATGGTGGCACATGCTGTAATCCTAGCTTTTGGGAGGCTGTAAACACACAGATGACGAATCCAACCTAATAGTGAGACCCTGAACACGCTATAGACCCTTCCCTAAAATACAAAAAATAAAAAATAAAAAGTATTAAAAAAATTATACTGTGCAAAGCCACAGTAATAAAACCATCATGGTACTGGCTCAAAAGGTAGATGCAGAGAGCAGCGAATAAAACAAAGGATACATTGAATTAGGGCAGGGTGGTATAGCTCACTGGTAGAGCACTTGTTCACCACACATAAGGCCATCGGCTTTCATTCTCAGCAGAGCAGAAAGACAAATACGTATAGTGACACTTATTTCATCAGTTAAGAGGTTCTCCTATCCTACCAGTTCTCCTACCCAGTTCTATATAAATTAGGTACACATAAAAAACTTTTAAAATTCTCTTCCATCAACTTCCTTTGAAAATTATATAGCATACATAAGCATCTAAGAAAATGGTACCCATTACTTCAAATGAAAATAAAATGTTCGTTTTTTTGTGTGTGCAGAACTGAAGATTGAACTCAGGACCTTGCGCTTGCCAGGCAAGTGCTTATTCTACTGAACTATCTCCCCAGCCCCTTGGAATTTTTTTTTTTCTTCTTTTTTTTTTGGTGGAACCTGGGATTGAACTCAGGCCCTTGCACTTGCTAGGCAAGTGCTTATTCTACTGAGCCATCTCCCTGGCCCCAAAAATAAAATGTTCTATGCCATCACAATCATCTTCAACTTGTACTAAGAATTATTTTTAACTTCTTACAGAACAGCAGGCATGTTAAAGAACAGTTAACATTAAAGACAGACATCCAAGACCTATTAAGTGTGAAAATGCAAGAGAAAGAGAAGCAGTACATTAAGAACCTGGCTGTTGTGGGGCCAGCAAGATAGCTCAGCAGATTAAAGCACCTTTCTTAGGCAAATGCAGGGACCAGGGTTTGATCCCCTGTGCACCATGCCAGCCCTGCCCCTACAGCACACTGAGATGGTGATTGAGACCGGGCGTGGTGGCACACACCTATATTCCCCATGCTTGGGAGGCTAAAAACAGGAGGATCACTAGAGTCTGATCTGTGAAGTGTGACACTGTACTAAATGCATAAAACAATTTTTTTTCAAAAAGGAACCCATCCTGAAGCAGGAGGAACCCACTGTGAGGGTGTGGGTAAAATATTTTCTTTTTGCTTTTCTGTACTTTTAAAATGTTCCCAAACATTTCTACAGTATTTCACAAGACAGTTTGCTAATCATAATATTTCTATTACATATGAACCAATTATTAATCTCTACAAAGATAACTATTGACATTTTAAGATACTGATACAAATCACGTAACTTGTAAAAATGAAAAATAGTGACCAACACCATATTGAGTCAGATATTTATTATTTGTCAGATTCTTTTAAAAGTCAATCCAAATGCAGTATTATCCCTAATGTTCAATTTTCCCTTTAGTTTTTTTATTGACTTTATTTATGCACTTAGGACCAGGTCTACAGGGTCTCACTAGATTGGACTCATAGTGATCCTCCTGTGTTCAGCCTCCCAAGCGCTGGGATTACAGGGGCATGCCACCATGCCCAGTCTCAATAGCCCTCACAGCTGGCCCCAGAGGCGGGGCCAGCACGGCATGCTGAAGATAGAACTCCAGCTGCTTTATCTGCCTAAGCAAGCACTTTAGTCCACTGAGCTATTTGGACAGCCCTCAATTTTCACTTTAGTGAAAAAGACACCATCAAATCCACTAAACAAAAAACAGAGCTGAGGTTTCCGACTCCAAATGTCAAGCAATTCTGTAATATAATGCCATCACAAACAGTATGTTCTCCACAAACTAAGCAGATTTTCCAGAAGAAAATTAATTTAAAACAAGCCAGGCATGGTGTCATACCCCTCTACTCCCAGCACCCCAGGTGATAGGAAGGAGCTCAAATTCAGGGCTCACCCTGGGCAGCTCAGACTCAGTGAGACCATCTCAAAATAAAAAAGGACAAAAGATATAGCTCAGTGTCAAGACCCCAGGTTTAATCATCAGTACCCTGCCCCACCAATTTGTATTTTAAACAGGTACCATAAGAAAAGAAGCTTAGCACATACCTCTACTTCATCTCCTTCACTAATTTCTTTTTTAATATCAGGTGGTGGTGGTAATCTAACTTCATTAAATGGAACCTGGCGTTCTGGTTGCCAACTGAAAGATCAGAAAAAGAATAAACATATACTAACAACCTCTTAAATGCAAACTATATAAATAGCCTATGCTTAGAACTGCATATTTTTTAAGTTAATAATTTAGTGTTTGTAACACTGTAATTTCCCAAATAATTCTCAGTAATGTTTATAATCAATTTTAAGTTAATCATCATAAGAATGGTACATGTATTATTGTACTAATGGAGTAAGTTTTCAGCAATGACTTGGGTTCAAAATAAAATAACATTTACCCAGATGCCAAAAAAAGTGGTGGGATCAACTTATCTCAAACACAACTATATGATTTGTGAAGAAACACAACTTCACAGATTCCAAAACAATAAAAACTGATTTTTTTTTTTTTTTTTTTGTATACACAGAGAAAAAAGAATTCAGATTGAGCATGCAACTCATTGGGATGGCACATACTTAGTATATGGGGCACTGGATTTAATCCCTAACACCAAAGGGGGGGAGGAAGCAATCAATTCTTTTAATAGTTGAATTACCAAAGCTTTATCTATTATTTAGTAAACATATACATTATAACTATAACTTACAAAAAGCTCAATTTCTTTCATCTTTGTAAATATTAAACTACCTTGTTTACATGAGTTCTTGCATTTTATAACCTGAACTTATAATACTGAATTTCAAAAAAATAAAATAAAATAAAACTGAATTTCAACTCTTAAGTTCTTATTGGATATTTAAATGACTGAGAGTTATTACTAACATGTAATATGCTCCTAAGGCTTTGATTTGCCAACTAGGTAAAGCTGCATGTAACAAATAAAATGATTTTGAGCTGCTTTTCACATTATCTAAATGGTAGCTGCTCAAAGACAAATCATCTCAACACTTGTCTCTATACCGAAGCAGCTGCTGGGCAATGATCTTTTCAGGCAGTTCCAGAAGCAGCTCAAATGTAGAAGTTGAACAGTTCTTTGACCTTCAGTTAAACTGCTCTATTGTAATCCTTTTCCAACCCTACTATACTAACAGACATTCCTTCTTTTAGACTAGCCCTTATACAAAATTTTGACACTAGTTCTAATTAATTGGCATCAAGCAATTAGAAAATAGCTTAATAATTTTAATCACAATTCAACATTTTGGGCTTTTAAAAATTAAACATATTTAGGGCTGGGGAGATGGCTCAATAGAATAAGCACTTGCCTGGTGAGTTCGATCCCCAGTTCCACAAAAAAAGCTTTAGTTTAAATAATTTGGAGCCAGGGAGATGGCTCAGTGGAATAAGGGCTTCCCTGGCAAGCGCAAGGGCATGAGTTCAATCCCCGGTTCCGCCAATAAATAAATAAATAAACAAACAAACAAACATATTTAAGAGGCTGAAGTAGGAGGCACACTCCAAGTTCAAGGCAAGTCTGGGCTACATAGTGAGTTCAGGCCAGCGTGAATTACACAGTAAGACCCTGCCTCAAAAAAATAAAAAGCATATTCAAATATGTACTAATGAAAAATAAAATTTAGCCTATTAAAATGTCATTTTTGCAGTCTTTTTTTTTTTCTTTTCTATCAGACCAGCCTTGAGTTCACTCTGCAGCCCAGGCTGGTCCCCAATTCCCAACAATCCTCCTGCCTCCACCTCCTGGGTGCTAGAATACAAATGTGAGCCATCACAACAAGCCATGCCATCTACCTCTGCCAAAAAAGAAACTTACTTCCTAATGATATCCATATATGTGCCCTGCAAAGAAGAGTGATGAGCAAACTGAGGAAAATGAGTCATCAAAACTGGACTCATAACTGAGATGATCAAACAGGGGCCGGGGAGATGGCTCAGTAGAATAAGCAACGGGCCTGAGTTTAATCCCCAACTCCACAAAGAAAAAAAAAAAGATCAAACACCCAAAGCACTCCCACTCAACAACAAAAGCATTTTCCCACCAACAGTAGTAAGACCATTAACAGTTCAGCACTGGCTTTTCCTTTTTTTGGAGACAGTTTTTTCCTAAATAGCTCATGCTGGTCTTGAACTCACAATGTAGCCCAGGCTGGCCCTGAATTTGTAGCAACCCTCTGCCTCAGCCTCCAAAGTAATGGGATTGCAGGTACAGGTCACAGCACTAGTAACGTTCAAAATTACGATCTGTCAATAATATAAAAATAACTTACTTATTTTCAAAAACAACTGTGAGGGAGTCTTCATGAACATCTTTGATAAATCCCTGCAAGAAACAAAACATTAAAAGGTTATCAATAGTAAGTTAAATGCCACATATAATTAAAATATGATACAGATACAGAAACCATGTGCTATACTAAAAGAATCCAAAGTTTGAAATTATGTACATCAGTGTTTCTCATCTCCACCATTTGAGAAATGTACAATCATGTTAATTTAACTCTCTGAACCTCATTTTCCACATTATATATCCTACGTTTAAATTTACAAAAAATAAAGGGCCGGCCAAATAGCCCAGCAGACTAAAGTGCCTGCAAGCAGGCGCAGGGGCAGGGTTCAATCCCCAGGCCTGCCGTGACAGTACCATAGCCAGTGCCAGCCCCACCCCCGGAGCATGCTGAGATGGCAATGGAGACTGGGCATGGTGGTGCGCACCTGTAATCCCAGCTCTTGGGAATCTATAAACAGGTGGATCACTGAGTCCGATCTAGCAGTGAGACCCTGAACACCCTCTATAGACCCTTCCCTAAAATGCAAAAAAAAAAAAAAAAAAATTTAAAAAAAAAAAGGGCACATCCTTGGATCACAGGCATGAATGTGGCAGTATTTAGTACCATGACTAAGAGTTCAATATTTAGTGCTGTGACTAAGAGCTCAAGATCTAGAATCTGGCTGCCAGGAATGATCCCAGCTTTTATCACTTACATATCCTTGAGCACACTTTTAGCAGTTAATAGTTATTATACTTGATTAAAGTAAGCTTCTACCTTACAATTCTGGAAGCATTTTTGTCTTTCTTGCTCTGTCAAAACCTAAAAATTGGATAAAATTACAGCTACTTTTGCTTAATTCAATGAGAAGAGGTGTACTAACAGTGTTTGGACAGAATATCCTGTCGGCTTCTTGTACTATGGATAACCACTAAGAAGATAACAATGTACAGTGTACTGACTATGAAAACTGTCCTATGAATCAGCTGTGAAACTCATTCATATTTCTCAATAAAAAAATAAATTTTAAAAAAAACCCTAAAAATTAAAAACTGTTACTCTAGTTGAGGATGATTGTGATTGTCAAACCATCATGGTAGTGATATTCTGGCCCGTTTTTCTATTTCTAGTATAACGCACATTCACTCTTAGCAATCATTTGGTCAGCACTTTCTTATTTATGTCAACAACAAATCCATCTACATTATACCTTTCCCATGTTTTTTCCCCCCTAGAACCAGGGATTGAACTCAGGCCCTTGGGCTTGCCAGGCAGGTGCTTATTCCAATGAGCCATCTCCCCGGCCCCTTTCCCATGTTTTAAACATTAAAAAAACTAAAAATTGTCAAATTCATAAATATCAGTAAATCATCTTTTGCCATCAGCAGGTATTTGTATTTTCAGCTTTTACTAAAACTTTCCAGTCCTTCAACACTGGTATTTGCAAAGTTTCACAACAGTTAATTCATTTAACTTCTAAATAATTCATATGATGGATTAATTCAACTCAGAACCAAGCCACCTGAAAATTCTGCTCATCATAAAATTATTTTTATCCATCTAAAACTCAGTGCTTGGGGCTGGTGAGATGGCTCAGTGGTCTAAAGCACCTACTTAGAACAAGCTTATCAAAGCACAGGGACCACGGTTCAATCCCCCAGCACCACATGCCAGCC